TTAAGTACGTGATCCTGTAGCTCAGCCTAAAAAAGTAATGTGATGCCTGTAATGTGCTGATAAAGACTTTTTGTGGTACTTAGAGAAACATTAGTTGACAGAGTAGTGTGTATCTCCTTTTCATTTTTTAAAAGGACACCCAGGTTAAAAACTATATTAAAAATATATTCATACCTCTGGCTCCAATCCTGCCACTGGATCTACATGGGAGTGGGGATCCAACCATGGGAAACCAAATACAGGACTGGGCCTAAGTTACATGTAAAATTATATTTTAAAAATATTTTATTTTCTAAATAGGGGCAGATTTTCAGGACCAGCCTCCATCTTTACAGGAGTAAACATTTCTAGATAATCTAATCACTTGTTGGGACCCACAAACGAGAAGTTTGAAGTCTGTCTTGTAAAGTGTCCCCTTGCAGTTCAGTGCAGATGCAATTATTTCTGGACACAAAATTGCTCCTATAAAGCATAGACCAGGTCAAAGTCTAGCTGATAGCCTAATCCATAGTTTGTATGCCTGAGGAGGTAGCACATCTTAAAAGAATTTTGTTTTAATCTGTTTCCATTGGAATTTATATTAAAAATAGAACAAAAAGAACCAACAAGAAATAAGAACAAAAAGAATAATTTTCTGGAAATGTTTTTATTGGCCTTATGTTTTATAAAAATCTTATTTTACCAAATCAAAATTTGGTCCCAAATTATTAAACATTCCTTTCTCTCTTTCTCTGCCAAGTGTGTCACAAAGACAAGGTGAGTGAGGTAATATTGTTTATTGGACTAACTTCTGTTGGTGAGAGAGACAAGCTTTTGAGTCACACAGAGCTCTTCTTCAGGTCTGGAAAATGTACTCAGGCCGTGGCTAGACTTGAAACTTCAAAGCGCTGCTGGTACTCTACCTCCATGAGGGGATTAGCTTACTGCGCTGGGAGCACGGCTGGGGCACTGTTTACACTGGCGCTTTACAGCGCTGTAACTTGCTGCGCTCAGGAGTCTGTTTTTTCACACCCTTGAGCGAGAAAGTTGCAGTGCTGTAAAGCGCCAGTGTAGCCATAGCCTCAGAGTGTCACAGCTAAATACAAGGTGGAACAGATTGTTTAGCATAAGTAGTTAACACACATTTCAAGGGATCATTCAAGGTGACGTGGCCTGTTAACACCCCATTAGTCATCCAGTGTCTCTATTCAGCCGGTATTTTTTAGTGTCTAGCAACATTATGAATTGAAGTTCCTAGGCTTGTCTTTTGAAAGTGTTGTGCAGATTTCCTTTGAGAATGAGGACTGGGAGGTCAGAGTGATCGCATTGTGAAAAGTGTTCACCCCTAGGTGATAGAGTGTTTTTGTCTTTTATCATTTTTCAGTGAGAGTTCATTTGAGAGCATAGTGATTGTCTGGTTTCACCCACACAGTTGCTATTGGGGCATTTAGTGCACTGGATGAGGTACACCACATGTTGTGATAGGCAAGTGTAGGACCCATAGATCTTAAAAGGTGTGTTGTGGGGAGTGTTGATCATTGTAGCAGTGGAGATATGTCTGCAGGTTTTGCATCTATTGTTCTGGCAGGGGCTGCTGCCACTTTGAATTGGTATATCCTAGTCTGTGGAGAGCTTGCTTCTGATGATGAGCTCGGAGAGGTTGGGGGTTGTTTGAAGGCTAAAAGAGGGGGTTCAGGAAAGGTTTCTTTCAGAATGTGGTCCCCATTGTGTATATGTTGTAATTGTTTGATGATACCCTGTATAGGTTCCAGTGTGGGGTCTGGTAAGTGACAACTAGGTGTGTGCAGTTGGAGGGGTTTTTATTTCTGTATTGAAGCAGCTTTCTCGGGGTACTTGGGTGGCCTGTTCCATGATGTGATCTACTTCTCTGGTGGAGTGTCCTTGTTTGGGGAAGGAAGTTTTAAGTGTGTTAAGGTGTATATCCCAGTTTTTCTTCTCAGAGTCTATTCTGTGGTATCTGAGTGCCTGGCTGTAGATAAATTTCTTGGTGTGTTTGGGTGGTTACTAGGCCTGTGAGGGCAGGTGTGATTATGTGTGGATTTCTTGCATATAGTTGTTTGTAGGGTTCCATTGTTGAAGCTGATTGTGGTGTTCAGGAAGTTGATGCTAGTGTGGGAGGGTTCTAGAGAGAATTTGATGGATGTGTGGTGGTTATTGAAGTTGTGGAAATCTATGATGGAATAAATGTCATCAGTACAGAAAATGAAAATATCATGAACGTATCTCAGGTGTATCATTGGTTTTGTGTTGCATTTGTCCAGAAATTCTTCCTCAAGGTGTCCCATTAAGATGTTGGCATATTGTGGAGCCATCCTACTACCCATCGCTGTTCCCATGGTTTGGACAAAGTGTTTGTTGTTGAATGTAAAATTGTTATGGGTGAGGATGAAATGGATGAGTTTGATGGTGTGTTTGGGGTGGATATCTGAGGGTTGTCCATTATCTTGTAAATATTTGAGGCAGGCAGCAATGCTATAATTGTGAGGGATGTTGGTTATAGGGTGGTGATATCCATAATGGCAAGAATGGTGTTCTGAGGAGGTTATTAACATTGTGGAGTTTCTGGAGGAAGTCAGTTGTGTGGTGGAGGAAGCTGGCCCTTTGTGTGGTGAGTATTTGGAGGATGGGTTCTATGAGTCCTGATATTCCTTCAGTCAGAGTGCTGTGGCCAGATATGATGGGTCTGCCTGGGTTCCCTTGTTTGTGTATTTTGGGAAGCATATAGAAGTTCCCTGGGGTGGATTTGGGGGGAATGAGGTTGTAGAGTTTCTCTTTGAGTTGTTTGGGGAAGGATTTGATGATATCCTTAAATTCCTGGGTAAATTGTGGTGTGGGGTCTTCTTTGAGTTCTTTATAGTTGGTGTATAGCAGTGGTTCTCAACCTATTTACCATTGTGGACCGCATGCAATACTACCTGCATGACCCTGAGGATGTCACATGGGCCACAGCTGTGTGCTGATTGGGCCGCAAGTTGAGAATCACTTGTGTATAGTATAGTAAATATATCACAGACATTAATAAAAGTAGCTGTGTTTCTTGCTTTCTTGAAGAAAATAATGAAGCACACCTCTCTGTTCATAATGTAACACTCCCATTCAATTTAAAAATCTGTCATGTTGCCCTCAGGACAACATGGACCCCTACAGAGTCCCACAGATGCTAGCAGATCACACTGTAAGATTGGGGACCTGGACAGTAAAGTGCAGATCTATTTTATTTATTAATTGCTATATTGAACTTGGAGGTGATGGGAAAGTTTAATGTGTGCTAAGAACATAGAATGGTATCTTCCTAAATTCTTAATTTGGGCATGGTGGCTCAGGTCTGTGAGTCATGCAGCCAGGGCCAAGTGAGAAAACAACGATAAATCTTTAGGCATGTGGTGCCCTGCATTCTGTTGAGGCAGATTGTTCAGCTTGCGAGTAGATGGGGATGTCCCCTTTGTATCCCTGAGAAATGACCTTTCACATTGATTATCAGTAGAATGAAGAGAGCTTAGTTCATTTCTTCTAGTTTAAGGAGTTGTAGAAAGACTAGGCATGGGAAATTATGTACAAGGGAGCAGATTGTTCCACATATGTCTTCTGTTGTTACCCAGGGTTTTCAGAACCCACAGCAGTGGTAACTTAACTATTTCATTCCAGGCAGTGTCAAGAATAAATCAATGGGAACACAGCAATTCCGTCTGATAAAAGATTAATGCAAGTAAGGTGCTCTGTCTAAAACTGCAGTTTATTAGATTTAAGCACACACAGACATAAGCAATAAGTTTAGAACATCCCAAATATTTACCTAAAAACTGGAACAGTATTGAATAATTAACAGCAGATTCACAATGGCCAGTTGCTCACCCACTGAGGAGAAAAGGTGTCGGGAAAAATGTCTCTCAAGATGGCTTCAGAGGATTGCTCCACGTACACTGTATTAGCTAATCTTTTATAACTAACTTCTACAAATCACATAGGTCATAGTGACCCCTACTAAATAATAACTTTTCCTAACTTTCAATAAACTACTTACCAACAAACATTCCTAACAATCTTAATCATAATAAACTTCTATATCAGAGGCGCCCAGATTCAAGGTTTTCCGTCCACTTATTTTCTTTCAGTCTCAGTTGTTGACTTTTTCTCTCCCCTCCTCCCATTCTGATTAGCAGAAATTGCCAGCTAGTTTTGACCTTGCCTCTAAAAGCCTGCTTTCAAATTAACCCTATACTATGTGGTGTTCTATTTTATTAATTCATGGTGGCTGAATGCACATAATAGGATTGCAATTAGCGTGATCACATTCTGGAGTACACCCCTACCCCTCAAATCCAGGGTAACACTCTAGGATTCTTACACCATCCTTTGAGGCCACTGGACTCTATGGACTAATGGTCTTATTGAGTATAGTAAATTCTTATGTTCCTATATACAGTTCAGAATTCTTGGTTCCTTTAGGTTGTCCCATCATGTACAGAAGGTTATATTGGTGTGATGAGTGACAAATGATGAGACAGAAGCAAGGAGTAGCCTTGAAAGTGATGCAGAAGGGGATGTGGAGTCCCTGAAGGGACTCATAAAGACTGGTGATGAGGCAGGGAAGATGAGTTTGGCAGCTGTGCCATGTGGATGGCCTAGAAGGAATGAGGTGGATGGAGAGAAGAAGGTTACAGTAATTGAGGTAGGAGGTTATTGAAGCATGGACAAGGATATTGGCAGTAGGGATAGAAAAGAAGATGTTGTTAGTATTCCAGCTTATACATACATATATTCTAAAGTCTTTCTTCAGGACATATGGGAATGACCAACATCTGTAGGGAATTGAAACTATAAATAGTAAATTAGCCCCATAGAATACTTTATTTTTAAACAACTGGTTTATTCATTGTACCTATTTTACACAACCTGGGAGGAGAAAAAAAGTCTTCCTTTTTAACAAACCTCACATACACCACATACCTGAGAAACGCTTGAGTAAAAACAGCTGCTGTTCTGTGCTTTGATTCCTCTAGTCCTGGCACCAATGGAAAATGTGATACAAGAAACTATTGACTATACTCGCCAACGGAAAATATACAACCAGCCAGTACTGCATAACCAAACAGTGCACTTTCGCCTGGCAGAATTAGCAACTGAGGTGGAACTTGTTCGCTCTCTGCTGTACCAGGCTGTTGGTAAGCTTCCACATTTGGCTTCAGGAATATACTCTTAATATGAAACAATTGTCATGATTGGAAAAATATGGGAAGGGTGTTGGGAGTGAGGTTATACTGCAGTCAGTGACTTACTGTAGAATGTGCGCTTTTATTTTAGTGCTCTATATAAGAGGAAATGATGTGACCAAATTTGCTTCAATGGCTAAACTAAAGGCAGGTCGTCTAGCCCGTGAGCTGAGTGATAATTGCCTCCAGTTCTGGGGAGGAATGGGATTCACCAATGAGGTGCTAGTGAGCAGACTTTACAGGTGAGTCACTGTTTGAGAATGTGAAAGGTTTTGACTCTGCTTTAAATAACTTTGATCAAATATATGCAGTATTAAAAACCCTATGTGGGATGTTTGCTCTTTACAATTTTGCTGCAGTGTAAATAATCTGGAACAGACCCCCAGTTGATGTAAATAATGAAGTTCCATTGGAGTTACACAAGCCACAGATCTGATCCTCCTGCTTGATCCTGCAGTGGGGATCCACAGGCACAGAGTTTCATTTGCTCCAATGTGACTTTGCCTAGGTGTAACAGTCAAGGAACATGGAAGAAGATCCCTTTTGTAGGTCACAGCTTTAAAAGTAATTGTGTGGTTCAGTCTACCCACAAGGCTCGTCTGAAGCTCAAATAAAGGGAGTGGTGGAGACTCCATATCCTTCTATAGTTCACCATTAGCCCTATATGTCTCTAAGGCAGTAGCTCCAGAGAGAAAGACACCTTAATGACAGGTTCTTTCCCCATTAGCAAGGGGGTGCCTATCCTAGGTGCTCCTGACACAAATTACAGAACCAAAATAAAAATGAAAGAGCAACAGAACTTGACCTCCCATAAAAATGGATTCAGGAGTCTACCTTTAGGTTCCTGTTTTTGAAACTCAACACTCCACACAGCTCCAACAACTCTTCCCCTGGTTGACCTCCCAGTAGTCTTCTCTGGCAGCCTGTGTGGGGCTAGGTCAGAGGTCCTTTCCAAGACATGTGGAGGAATGAAGTTCTGCCCCCTGCTCCCTCAATACAGCCCCTTGGATGGGAATTAAGAGGTGAAAAGGCCTTGCACTGGCCCTACATACCATGAGTAAATTTTACCTGTAGAGACTCCATGGACTTTTAAAAGGGAGATGCCAAACTATACACCCTGAGCCCACTGAGATTCATGCAAAGATGATAAAAACAGAGAGAAGAGAAATACTGACTATAGAAATGAGCAAAATTGTAAGTAGAGTATTTTCTATGAGGTGCCAATACTCCTTTAAGTGGGATGCTGGCTCCAGTACCCTGTATTCTTTTGGAGGACGGTTATAGCCTATATGCCAAATGACGTTAATGCTGTATGCATTGTTACATAAACAAAATATGGATCTTAAATTCTCCTGCCTATAGTAGATTTCAGCTTGCATATAAGTCCTCGTAATAAGATGCCTAACAAAGTGTTAGTGGAATCAGGGTTAGGTCTGTCAAGATATTAGTAAATATACCATTTCTGTGGAAAGTGGCAATAGGAAAATTGAAAAAAGAAGTTATAAAAAGTTTACTTCTTTTTAACGTGTTACTTTGTTTCTAGAAATAAAGCTCTTGAAGTACTTTTACTAAAAATTACATCAGAGCACGGGATATAAACTGTCAACAGTCTCATTGCTAACAACCTCTTCTGTTAAACCAATGCAACAGAAGAAGGAAAATGTTGTTTAAAAACGTCTTATATAAAACTGCCGTCCCTTTGTTAGAAATGCTGTAGACCTACAGCTTCAGAGAGGCAAGCCTGATGTGGGCTGGCTGAAAAAGAGAGCTCGGATGTGTTGACCACAAGGTAGTGATGTGGCAATTTCCCGAGCTGGGAGCAGTGTAAGTGCTTCATTCCCCAGAGCATCTTTCTGCAAGCTTCCTGCCCCTTTCAGAACACGCTGCTATTGGCAGTGGTGCTGTAATACATTCGTATTACATATGCCACAGGAGTGGGATTTATGTGGAGGATGGAAATAAATCTCATGCATTTGTATGGGTTTGATTTGTCCTCTGAACTTGTGGTTTTGGCACTATTGCTACTTCTGGGAGCACCCGTCTGACTCTGAGACATGGCTGTTCTGGGCCCATTCCAGGATAGCTACTAAGCAGACTAGTGTAGTTATGTATTTGCTCCCCAGCTGGCAAATCCAGCACATTTCCTATTGGGATCTATCCTGTGGCTGCCATCTAATATTAAAGAAAGAAATCCTTGCCACCTCAAAAGAAAAAGCATTATAAATAGACCTAAATGATGATGGTCACACTCCAGAATTTTGTTATGAACTAATACAATTCCATGGTTGGATAATCATAGTCACCAGAGAGGTGAAGTAAGAATATCACCCGAAGGAACAAACACAGGTTTACTCTGTGATCCATTGTAATCTCTACTAATAAACAAAGCAGCAAGTCTCCTAATACTAGTTCTTCATTTTACTCAGACATTGCTGCAATCAGTTCACATCACTGTGACATTTGTACAGCAGCAAGCAGCTGTTACCGTAAGTGCTCGGCATTTCCATTCAGTCATACCATGAGAATTAGTTTGCAAAGTAATCCTTAGTAAGCAGTGTTAGTGCCTGACACACAGGTCAGTCTGCTATTACTTCAGCAAGCATCATGCATTATGATAACTCTTCAATAAATTCAGCTTTTAAATTGCTTAATAGTGTTGGTAGGGAGTTTTAACCAGACATTGTACAAACCTGTCTGCCAAGTTGTTTTATTAACTATCACTTTAAGTTCAATAGTTCTTAAATCATTTATTCTACAAAAGTATTTCCAACGTACAGAGTTGTTAGAAGAAGGAATTAATGAAGGCTAGTTACCACTCCCCCTCACCAGACACATCCTGCTGGTTTTATATAAAGCATTTCCCAGATATTTCACTTCTTATATCTCAGTATTTATTAAATAAAATAGATATAGTAAGGATTTTTCTTTTCTTTTCTGGGGGGAGAGGAGGAGGAGAAAATCAGTTTCTCTCACTGATTCCAGATATATAATTGTTTCATGGAAACATCCCCATTTTATATAGGCAGACATCTTCCATATATTACATATTTGGATATTCAACAAACTTAGATTTCATTTTAATATAACATGACTTTTTTAGCTTGTCAGTGACTAAGTAATTTACTTTATTAGAAACTATTTATATTTGTAAAGGGTTATGATCAACTTGAAATCTAGTCATCACAATTTTTTTACAGTAGTTTCAAATACTACAAGCTACCTCGAACGTCTGCCAACTGTTACGGTGTTGCATTCCTGCTTTTTAAATGTTTTTCTTCCCAAGTTGCTGTGTGTAAAACCCAAGCAAGCAACAGGGGAAATTGATTATTGGCTATGCATATGAAACAGATAAAACGACTGTAAATGGTGCTGCCAAATGTGCAAAGTGGGGTAAAACCAAAAGTTTTTTTTTTCCTCAAATACCTTTTAGTTATTGCTAGGCAAAGTTTTATTAGTAAAAGATAAAATTATAAGTGTGATTTTTAAGTTGTTACTTTGAATAACTAAGCATTTGCTGTCACATTATCTTTGGGTTTTTTAGAAAATGTTAAAAAAAGTCAATAACTTTTCATGCTGTTGTTCAAACAGACCATAAATCATATGAACGTATACATCTGATCTAGAATGACTAAGTAATTTCTTCTTTTCTTGATAGGTGTTTGATTACCACACTGTCACCATTGAATTGAGGAGTGGTAGTTTAGCAGAACAATTTTTTTCCCCAGGAAAAATCAAATTTACAAAGAAAATAGGAAAGAGAGGGGGCATGGCGGTTTATGGCCTGAGTAGCTATGAGAATTTAGGCATCGCAGGTGGGGATGGCTCAGTGGTGTAACAGCCAGCTTTTCAATTAATATTGCTGAAACCTCTCACTCAAAAGTAAGTAGGGTTAGAGCGGCCCTTCCAGGAAGATAAACTGAGTAAAAGTAAGGCCTTAAAAAATAGTCTTATCAGATCCAGGTGGATGTTGGATACCGTGATGTATTTTAAGTAGTAGTATTTACTCCCAAGTCATTGTGCAAAAATGGACTGCCCCCAGTGTTCTGCAGAACCCCCGCTGCTGTTCGATTGCGCCCCTTCACTACAGAGATCACTGAAGTTCAATGTTACAGACTACACTGAATTTCTGAAAAGTTAAAGGATGCAAGATGCCTTTTCTCCCTAGAATCCTTTTACCTCCTGCAGACACATTTCCAGAGAAAAGATGGGCCACAGTTCATTTTGTAAAGTGCAGCCTTCAGCCTGGTGAGCATGGAGATTTCAAGTGTTAGCCTAACAAACTTGGACAATCCAAACAGTGTAGACAATGGAACACCAAGCTGCTCTTTAAAGGTTTCTCTGGCAGATTTTTAAATCTGTAGGAAGGTAACAAAGGGGTAAATCCTTCATAAGCTTTACTTGGAAGGGGAAACAAAGTTACTGAAATTCAGAGCTAGCATTATACTTGAAGAAAACTGCATTTCCAAACTTTAGGCTATGTCTGAAGCAATGCTGTGTTTTTCTTTTCAAACAACCTGCAAAGCTTTCTTCATTCTGATTGATGTGTATGTACAATATTAGCTAGAGTACATTTCTGTGTAATAAAACCGGAGGAAAAGTAACTTTGTGGTAACTAAACGTGGGGGGAGGGGCAGGAAACATTTCAGTTCAGCATGAATTTTCAGCTGATATATCATACAAATGTTTTCACCCATTCTTTGTCTCTGCAGAGACTCAAGATTACTGTCAATAGGAGCTGGTGCAGATGAAGTCATGCTTTCCATTATATGCAAATATATGGAAACTCTTCCACAAAAGAAGTAACACCCAGCAACAGTTACATTTCTTTATTGAAAATTCATGAGAGAGATACAGTATATTGATTACATACTGAAAGAATAAGCAATATATCTAAGGTGATTAAGTGAAATTTTCTAGCATTTATGCCAATGACCTACTACTTAGTGCCTTTGTATACAAAATTTCTTGTACCATAACTTTTAAATTAAATATTGAAATTAAAAGGAAGTAATCTGAAAACATGTATCCTCTTGCAACATTTTTTCTCTTGTTGCAGACCAGTTGCTGCTTTTGAGTGGTCTAGTGCATATTAAGTAAATGGAGTGAGTGTCTACTTATATAAGCAAGCCACACCTACAGTTAAAAAACCTAAACCATGATAAAATTGAGTGCCGCCTTGCCATGTCCCATGCAAGAGAGAATTCTACCAGTAGTTTACTTAAGCAAATTTTAATGTAAAACTGCACTGAATACCAACCATATCGTCTATTGGAGACATGCACTTTATCTTAGGTTGTAAGGTCTTTGTGGAATGGCCTTTTTTTTTTTCTTCCGTGGTTGTACAGTCCTGGTTCACAGTTAAGGCTTCTAGGCACCAGAATTTCTCATGCCTCATTTCTTAAACTTGTATATTCCATTACTGGAACAGCAATTCTGCTGTCCTTCATTCACCTATAGGTTACATAACTTTCACTTTGTAATATTCAATGATCAATATCTCACACACTGCAGAAAGTGGCTCTACATATACGTCATTCATTTTGAACAGTGGCCATAAGTCTGGCAACATTGCCTTACAATTCCTAGTCCTTAGCTAAATTGTTACAGTTTTCAACCAAACTGGGGAAGTTCTACTGCCTGTGTTATACAGGAGAATATACTGGATGATCAGAAGTGTCCTTTCTGGCTGTGGAAGCTATGATTAGCGGCAGTTTACATTGGTTAGGAACTAAATAAATACCATTTTTTTCTTTCTCTCTAAATATATCAGTCCATTAATATTTGCTCACTATGAATATTGATTCATCAATGTCAGTTACACTCATTGGAGTTGTTTAAACTTGATTAAATATGTTTAACAGTACTGTAAGTTGTAATTGCTTTAAAGCACAAATATGTGACAAATGAAATTTGATTGGACAAATTAGCATAATTTGTTACAGAAGTCCTTGACGTGAAATGTAAAGCTGCTTGCAATAAATGTAAAGTTTAGACCTTAGTCCATCCTGTGCTTTGCTGCACATTGGGCTACCCATATTTGCCATCCTTGCCTGTCAACTGCCCTTCTCTCCAAATCTTCCCATTTCATGTTGAGGTGCTTGATGTCATTCAGAACTGTTCGTTTCCATGTTATTCGCGGTCTTCCTCTCTTTCTTCTTGCGTTTTCTGGCTTCCATTCAAGGGCGGTATTTGGTAAGCATTCTTTTTCCATTCTCAACACATGTCCCAGCCACTGATGTCTTCTCTTGTACATTATTTGTGAGAAGGTACCTTGTCCAGTAATTTTTCTGCTTTCTTCATTCGTCTTCCTATCTCTATATGTTGTTCCCAATATTCTTCTAAGTAATTATATTTTGTTGTATCTAAAGCTATCCAGAGGCCAATGCTTATTTCTGAGTGGAATAAACGGGCCCAGAAAGTCACAGGTGTTAGTGATCTTGTCATTGTACAACACTAAACAGTTAAAAATGGTTTAGGCCAAGGGGTTGAGCAGAGACCTCAGCCAGCATGTCAACAACCACCATTAAAAAGCTATCCTTTTATTAAAGATACAGAAAAGGAAATGATAGAGATTTGAAATGTAAAGCATTAAGTAAGGTTTTCATTTTAACACTATCCCTTTCTATTTAGCTGCAGACCGTTTTATAGAGAATGCACCTGGCTTGTCAATCTTTTAGATGGTATTAAAGATGGTAACAACTGTTCTTTTTTAGGGAAAAGAGAAAAGATTACTGGAGACGGGGGTGGAGTTGTAAAAGTCTGATCCCACTTCAAGACAAAACACACACAAAAGAGGAGAAAAACAATGACGGAAAATATAGTTGCTGTTACTAGTGCTTGCTGCTGGAGAAAGACTGGTACAGCATAGTCTTATCGAGCCACTCGGACAACTTTTAGCAACATCAGGCTGTTAGGGCATTCTTCTTGATTGTCTCTGGCTTTACTGCAGTGCTGCAAACGATGCAGTTGTTTGGCTGGCTAAGCCCAACTCTTATTAAACAAAAGGTGAAAAGAGAAGGAAAAAGGACAAACCAGAGAAGGAGTTAAAGCAGAAACCCAAGTATTACATTCCAGCTGGTGGTCAGGATTTAGTCAGATCTGGTGGAAGTGACAATATCCTCTAGGTTTTCCTTTGAGCTGGGTTGGTCAGGACATCTCTCATGCTCAAGATGATGAAGATTTAGTGCTATCACAATGAATCTTGCGGCCCGAGTAGCCTGTGAAGGTGGCAGCCAGGATGGTAAAGCTCACTCCTTTCAGTCCACCCGTCTTCCACAATTGGAATTCCCCCCCCACCCCCAAAGTCTTTAAGGAACCCAAAAGGGGATAATAGGAAGATTACCCCATCTTTCTTTATTGTGTCCACCAACTAGGCCTAGTTTTTTACACCAATTTTGAGCCATTAATTTCTTATTCCATTTGCTTTTTCTTACCAGTCACCACCTTAGCAATCCTTGGGTGGTACAAGAATACCCTTTTGTTTAGACTAATTCAATGTAACTTCTGCTGACTTTCCAAAGTAATTTTATGTTAACAGGCTGAGTTGGACTTTTGTTATCTTGAACAACTTAAGAATCCAGGCCTCTGCACAACAGGGGCTGAAATACATACTCTCCCCCAAAGAGTCTCCTTACATCTAGTATCCTCTATGTAGTGAAATATTCCTCAAGAAAGGGTAATTCCATTTCTACAGACGTTCTGTCTCAACCTTTTCCAAATGAATGGCTGGGATTCTGAGTCAAATCTTCACACTGCACATTTACTTCTGTTAAAAGGCCAACATTTCATCTATTGTTCATCTTTATAATTTAAAATGCACTGGTAAAACCTACTGAAACACAATTTGTAACCTACAGCCTTCTACATGAGCTGCACTATCTTAACTGTATCCCAGCCCAATAGTTTCAGGCTATGAGAGATATCAAAATAACTTAAAGCCATTAAAGTTGAGGCGCTCTAGTGTGATTAAAAAATAAATTTACCCTTTTCACACCTCATTTCTCAGAGATGCATCATTTAAAGTATCCCATACTGATGCTATAGAAATATAGTACCAGAAATCTCTGGCTGGAGAGAGGAAAACCATGAAGGTCTCATGCATTTCAAGGACTCAAGCCATCCCTGCACTACTTATACATTATACAAAACTTTTTTTTTCTGATGCAGTATATGGAGAACATTGGCAACCATAGCTGATTAAAGGAGTTTGTTTTTTCCCCTCTATGACATGTTCTCCCCAGGGTGTCACCTGGAACTGGGGTACCACTGAGCTCTCTGACCCACCAGCCAGGGCTCCCTCTCACACTGTGCTGCTGTGACAAGCTGCAGCCACGCTCCCAGTCTTACACTCCCCCCAGCATACACACAGGTAGGGACACACCCATGGCAGTTACATGCAGGCTCTTTGACTAGCCACTGCATGAACCAACAGTAGAAAGGCTAAAGCCAAGGTAACTCAGCTCCCCAGGCACGCACCCACTCTGGAGCATAAACCCAAAATTATACCATCTTGCACTGCACAGGGAACTGTACAGCGTAAACTCAGAATTTGCCTCCTCCCCCTGTCTCCCCAATGTGGAGAGGAATATGCAACAGCCCCTCTGAGCTAAGATTCCCACACACTTCACTCCAAACTCACTGGTTTAGATAAAGCAAAAACAAGTCTCTTTACTACAAAAGATAGATTTTAAATGATTATAAATTATAGCAAACAGATCAAAGCAGATTACCTAGTAAATAAACAAAAATGGAAACGAAGTCTAAGGGCAGGTCTACACTACCCGCCTGAATTGGCGGGTAGAAATCGATCTCTCGGGGATCGAATTATCGCGTCTCGTCGGGACGCGACAATCGATCCCCAAATCGACGCTTGTACTCCATCAGCAGAGGTAGGAGTAAGCGCTGTCGACGGGGGAGCCGCGGAGGTCGATTTGCCGCCGTCCTCACAGCTGGGTAAGTCGGCTCCGATATGTCGAATTCAGCTACGCTATTCGCGTAGCTGAATTTGCGTATCTTAAATCGACCCCCACCCCCCGTAGTGAGGACGTAGCCTTAGATACTAGAAAGATAGGATATGAATTAGCAAATTCTCACCCTGGCTGGTGATACAAGCAGGCTGCAGATTCTTAAGGGGCAAGCTGCGCTTGCTTTACAGCTTGGAATCCTCAAGTCTTTCATACACAGACTAGAAATTCCTTTAGCCTGTGTCCAGCACTTTCCCCAGTTCAATCATTGTTTCTCAGGTGTTTCCAGGGGTCTTCTTGGGTGGGGAAATGAAGAACAACAGATGATGTCACTCCCTGCCTTAAATGGCTTTAGCATATGGTGGGAACCCTTTGTTTCAAAACTTAGTCCCCAGACCAGTTTGTGGAAAAATACTGACATCCCAAGATGGATTCTGGAATCATGTGGCCTCGTCACATGTCCTTGTAGAGTCATAGCAGCCATTACTTACAGGCTGTCTGGAGTGTTCCCTGGAAAGCTCACCAGGTGGGAGATAAGCTTCTCCTAAGGCCTATTGTTTTCCTTCATGGCTCACTGCCCTGAATAAGCCCTTCCCAACCAGCTATCTAGACTGAAAACATCTTGTCTAGTGGATGTTACCCAAGTGTAACTTCATTTGAAGTACAGATATACAGTATTTATAACTTCAGATACAAAAATGATACATGCATACAAATGGGATAATCATATTCAGCAAATCATAACTTTTCTAATGACATCCTACATGCCCCATCTTGCATAAAATACATAATTATGCTATAATCATATCATCATCCTATCACTATGAAGAATATGGGGTGCAGTGTCACACCCTCCTTCACATTTTACTGTTCCTTCATGCTTAAAGATACCCTCACTTTTCTCCAAAGATTGTTTCTGCATTCAAAGTATCAGATCTATTTTTCCTGGAAAACTAATTAGGTTGTAATATCAAGGCTAAAACTCGAGCTACAGTTTCCCCAGAAATCAAGGGAGATTGAGTCTTTCATAGACATACCTTTTACTTGAGGTTTAAAACCTACACCTCAAAATCCTGTCAATTTTAAACAATCTAAGACAATCAAACAGAGGCAGATTTTATTATCTGAGGATTCCCACAAAGGCTGAGAAAGGGCAAGAATAAACTAAAGCAAGTACTAGTGTACACATTGGTGTTAGTGCAACACTTTTTGGCAAGGGCAGAAAACAAATATACCAACATTCATTCAAGCGTAGTTCAATTATGCTATGTATTGCATACACAGTGAGTCCCTGCCATATAGGTAGTTGTATGCACTAGGCACCAGGAGAAAAAATAAAGTAGTCCATGTAGTGAAACTGTTCAGATATAACTTATAGAATTTTTCACTTGACCACAGCTCAAAGAGCCACTTGACCACATACTATGTTTGATAACCAAAAAGACACACTGCAATAACATAAAAGGGATGAACTGAAACTGGAACGGGTACAGAGAAGGGCAACTAGGATAATCCGAGGAATGGAAAACCTTTCCTATGAAAGGAGACTCGAGGAGCTTGATTTGTTTAGCCTAACCAAAAGAAGGCTGAGGGGGGATATGATTGCTCTCTTTAAATATATCAAAGGGATAAATACCAGGGAGGGAGAGGAATTATTTCAGCTCAGTGCTAATGTGGACACGAGAACGAATGGATATAAACTGGCCGTGGGGAAATTTAGGCTTGAAATTAGACGAAGGTTTCTAACCGTCAGAGGGGTGAAATTTTGGAACAGCCTTCCGAGGGAAACGGTGGGGGCGAAAGACCTCTCTGGCTTCAAGATTAGGCTAGATAAGTTTATGGAGGGAATGGTTTGATGGGATTACGGGATTCTAATCAATTAGGCAATAACGGCCATCGCTGGTAAAATGAGGGTCTGGCTAGAGAATCTTGCCTGTATGCTCGGGGTTCTGCTGATCGCCATATTTGGGGTCGGGAAGGAATTTTCCTCCAGGGTAGATTGGCAGTGGCCCTGGAGGTTTTTCGCCTTCCTCCGCAGCATAGGGCAGGGGTCGCAAGCTGGAAGATTCTCTGCGACTTGAAGTCTTTAGATCACGATCTGGAGACTTCAACAGCAGAGTTAAGGGAAAGTGGGGGGGTCAGCTTTTGTGGCCTGCATCATGCGGGGGGGTCAGACTAGATGACCATATTGGTCCCTTCTGACCTTAAAGTCTATGAGTCTATGAGTGTGTGTGTATATATATATATATATATATATATATATATATATGAATTGTGACAGTCAGGCTGGACAGCTGCAAGAGAATAGGGGAAGGGCTATGTTAGCCCTAGAATGATAAAGGCCCTTTCCCCTATAAACTAAGGGGTTACCTCAGTGCAACTAGGGACACCTTAGTTCAATTAAGGGCTGCCTGAGACAATTATAAACCCCTCTTCTGGTGAGAGAGGAGGCAGAGAGACAAGTTGTTGCAGGGCTAGTGGTAGCCGGAAGATAGGCTTCTCCAGGGTGAGAGGCTGCTCTCCTTCTGGCAGGGGAAACAACTAAACTGAATGCCTGTTTAGGGGAAGGATTGGTACCCCGGGGCCAATAACGGGACAACACCCACAGAGACGGGATAGGAAAAGGTATCCTCCTGTATTTTGTGTTTGTGAATTTGTTTCTTTTGTTTGGAGCACTCTTTGGGCCTGCCCCAAAGCCTTCCTTGAAAATATTGATAAATAAAAAGGGGAAAGAAACACTGTCCAGTGTGGGGCTGATTTACTCCAGGCCCTGCCACCAGCAAAGGGGAAGCGCTAAGCCTGGCAAGACAGACGAGGTGCAAAACTCTGGAGGTCAGAGGCAATGTATGTAGTATCTCAGCTTGGGATAGACTCCCAAAGACTACAATATCTACAAATGGAATAGTGAGTGTACTTTAATTCCTGAAGGCAGATTTATGTTAAAAATGGAGGGTTCCTTGGACAGAGGGCCATTGCAATATACCTACAGTGATATAAACAGCAATCCTTTAAAGAAAGAGGATGTGTTACATAAGAGTCAGTATTTCAAGCACATTTTGTTTGTGTACATTTTTTTAGATGTTTGACAACAAAAAATTTTCAAGTCTACTCAAACTATAGTAGATGAATTCTTTTGCAGACTATCTAGAATTAGGTCACTTCAAACATGGTAGATAAGAAAAACACAATCAAGTTGCCAAATATGGATTATAAAAGTAACTACCCGCCAGACTAATACTAGTATGATACTTAAATATTCAGAATGCACCTCTGTTAACCAGTTGTTTAAGTTATTTGTTTTCCAAGCAAGGGTAGTTGCATCATTAAATGCTGCTGTTTAAAATATTGAATACGGATTCTAACATTATTTTAAAATCAGCACTTTTGAAAAACCTCTTCATATTTTATGCTAGGAAAAATTACATAAGATGGAACAAACCTGCGATCTATTTTCAGGAACAAATCCATATGGCTAAGAAATATATCACAGACATGCTTTATTTTTTACAGTTTGTAATGGGGTAGAGTACTACAAGTTATGGCAACATATTGCATTAATAGTGAATCTAGAAAATTTAGGCAAGGCATAGTTTTCTTTTAGATAACACTTCAATCTCTAGAAAATGGTTTCTATTTTGTATGCTGCATTTAACAGTGTAATAGTTGCTAGTCAACAATTTATCTTTATGAATAACCAAAACTAAGGCTTAATCTTAATAAATAAAAGTACCTCTAACAAAAGAGGTAATTCGTGCTATCTTGCATCATAATACTCTCCAGTATAAGAGCTTATAAATCTGGTTTCACATTTCAAAATAATGCTAAGTAGCTTTAAGAGGTCATTAACTGACAGAAATGTATGAAGGGTAAAAACCCCAGTGATTCAATAGAATCAGTAAGTTTTAAGTACTTAAATATAAAATGTAATGGAAAGATGCTATGCAAATATTTGCATCTTGTCCATGCTGGTTCCCCAAACTATCAAAAGGCATTTGATTATACTGAATACATCTTAGGGCTTGTCTACACGTGCAATGTTCCTTGAGCTGCGCCAATATAGCACTTCAGTATGGACATTACCTATGCACCCCTATGGGGTTCTCCTGTCAGCATAGGTAATCTACCTCCCCGAGAGATGGAAGCTAGGTCAACAGAAGAATTCTTCCATCCACCTAATGCTGTCTATAGCAGGGGTTAGGTTTGCATAGCTATGTGTCTCAGGGATGAAGATTTTTCCACACCTCTGAGAAACGTGGCTATCTTGCTGTAAGTTCCCAGGGTAGACCAGCCCTTAGCATTACTTGGTCTCAAATTAAAATTACCCAACGTTCTTCCAGTTTAGGTCAGTTAATGCCTCCTTAAACTGCAAGGTGGGTTTTGTTTTTTTTTTTAATTTCATTTTTAAATTCTAAGCCATGATACTTATAGAAATTTGCCAACCCCAACCCAAAGCATTACAAGTATGATGGTACTGTACTTGTAGTTTCAGGTGGTTTAATCTATGTTACAATAAATCTGTTTTGAAAAAGCACAAGCCTTTTTCATACTTCTATAATCTGCAAACTGCTACAAGCCTGATCCTGAGTTCCTTGCTCAGGATCAGGCCCTAATTTTGTTTATAATTTTTTTTACTACTTTATTAAAAAAGTGAAACCCATTAACGGAAATTCAAAGTTAAAGGTTCAAATTTTGTCCTGGCGGGGGCATGTTTTTAATTTTTGTTATATTTCCAAAGATATTTCCCCAAGAAGTAACTTGAGCCAAGATGTAAATATGCACAAGGTAGGAGATAACATTTGTTAACCCCAGAAAACAGGGGATATGATAAGAAAGCTTCTGGAATGGTAAACATCAAGACAAAATATACATAACAAATGCACTGATATCTAATATAACTTACAATAACCATTTAACCATATTTATCAACAGAGTATGTAAATTTAAGGTCTGTCCTCACAAATTAAGACCATTTTGTAATTCTGTTGAAGTGGCACAAAAAAACTGGATATAATTTGCATCATCTCAGTTTAATAATCCAGTAAATTACAAAAAAGACAAAGAGTGCAAAGAGCATCATGTAGCACAATAGTTTTGTCTGGCTCCCTCTGGAGAGTGTTTTCAGTCTGCCTATAGTCGCATCTAGAAATCCACCTGTAGAATCAAAGTCAGAGTCCTACGAAAGAGGAGAACATATAGAGAATCATTCTAAGAAAATAATACCACGCTACAATGGACTATGCACAATCACTTCTTGCATTTGTCTTTTCTTCCTATATTTAGAGTATTAAAAAACATTTCAAACCAGCATATGAACAGGCAGTTACATCTTGCTAGCCTATAACAAAGAGAAGTCCTCCTTTCATGTCCATTGCATCCGATTACCTGTTTTCAGGTACATCTTGCACAAGTAACCAATTTTCTCTGATTTTCGTGTTTTTGCTTCTCTTCTCCATTTTTTTAAATCAATTCTAGCACTGACATGCCTCCTGTACAGGTTTGTCAAAGCTATACTTTAATTCCTATTGCATGTTTGCTTTAATAGAGCAGAAATAATTAGACTCATCTGGGACCTACCAATTTTGACTGCTCCTTTAAAAGTTATATTCATACAAAGACCATGTCTACACTTACTGGGGATCAACACTGCTGCAGGCGGTCTAGTGAAGACCCGCTAAATCAACCACAGAGCACTCTCCGGTTGACTCTGGTACTCCACCGGAACGAGAAGATTAAAGTAAGAGATGCAGCGCAATGCAGAGACTGCAGTAAGTCGACCTAAACTATGTCGACTCCAGCTACATTATTCACGTAGCTGGAGTAGTGTAACTTAGGTCAAATTACCCCAGTAGCGTAGACAAGGCCAAAGTGTTTATATGAGGAAGCACTGCTGCTATAGAAATAGTAGCTAATGGTCAATATGGAGGATAGAACTATTCCTCCCTTTTGTCCCTATAATAAAGTAATTAACATTTTTGTGATATGATATAACATAAGGGATAAATTCTTAGTCCCATCACTTAATATAAAAAATGCCAACTGTAAACAAGCATATGTATATATCACTGTAAAAATTCGTAAGATTAGTTGCTACATACTTACCATGTCGGATAACATTTTATTTTGATTTTTAACTTCTGTTCCAATTTCAATGGAAAGCTATAAAAGAAGTGAGCATTACCATTACTTATATTATTTGAGTCCTATAAACCAGATTTGACATTATATACTGGGAGAAGTCATTCTGAAAGTATCTGTCATCGCCAGTTTTTTTCTAGATGTAGTAACATGGATGCTATATTTTGAAAGAGACTAGAGAAAAACACCTAGGAAGGAAATTGTGCACAAGTGCAATAAAAAAGCTCCTCAGCTCTGGGACACTTGTTACTTTACACCATTCCCCTACAGCAAAGCAGCTCTAACCTGAATGCATCTACCTGACGTACACAGATCCTCTTCTGGTGATGTAGTGCCACCACCGCGTCTACATTTATGTTGTATTAGTTTATGACAAGAACATATACAGCCTAGGACTGGCATTATTTTATGGTACACATTTTTCTCCAGATTTTTTTTTAGGTTCTCTATAAAGATTGACTCTGGAATCAAATATTCAGAATAGAGCAAAGGTGTTTATAGTCTTTTCCCTATTTTTCCTCATTTTACTAAGAACCACTCTTCACAGTAGAAGGAGACATAGCATGAATTACCAGAAACTTAAAAGATATGGGTCAAATTTACATAGCAATAAGCTACTCAAGGGTGCAGTTATCAGGCTATTGGTACACCGCTCGGATGGCTGAATGTACTGTCTGTGTTCCTGGCTCTCAGTGCACCTGAAGTATATGGCAATCACCTGACTAATGCACACCCTGGAGTAGCTTATTGTGATAATATTAACACAGACATGTTGACAGCAGAATTTCAAACTTTCCTACCTGGGGCCACCCAAATGACCTACTTTTTTGTGTTACGATCCCACTCCCATGGTCTTTTGCTGTTTTTGTATGAGGGTACTGTGCAGATGATTCTAAGTGGCACTTATCAGGAGTACAGCATGGTGCTAGCAGTAGGGAAGGTAGTTAGGAGTGACAAGCTGTGAGAGCAGAAATCAGAGCTTCTCCTTCCCTCACTCCACTAGATCTTAGCAGTCACTGTGTTTTTACTTCAAAACCCAAACCACCACTTGTGATGCAACCCCTAGTTCAAAGTATGATTTAAGATGACAGCATTTATTTAAGCTAATCTGTCTCTATGCTTGTCTAATTGGAACTGAATTGCTTAATTATGAGCAACAGTCTGAGCAATAAGATTGTAAGGGCTTTGATTCTGTAAAATTCATTGCCTTGCACCACATCTCTAGAAACGGCACCTATAGGGAGGGCTCCAAAATGTTTAACAGGTCTTGGAATGGACTAACAATTGGAAAAATGAAATTTCTTGTTGAGTAAAGTGAACTCCTGGGGTTTTGGTTAGAAAAAGGTTTAAAAATACAGTCCTCAGTCTCTAGAATGAGTTAAGATTCCCTAGGCAAGACGTTTCTTCTTTTGAGGAAATCAGGATGTTACTTCCTATTCCATATTATAAATTCATAAATAGATGTAGTAAAAGTTGTCCAAACCTCAACTTGAAGGACTTGATTGTCCTTCAACTACTGTCTCTGCTAAGTACAAGTAGTCTAATTCCTTAAGTTAACAGGAACAAACAAACACAAATTGGTTGCCAGGTCATTTACTGAGCTAAACCCAGGCTTCTAGTTTCCCTGGCCAGTGTGATTCATACTCAAGAAAATGCTGACTCCTAGAGTTGAGAATAAGTAGTAGGTATAGACTCTGCTGTCCTCAACAGGCAAGTAGCTTCATGATTAGCCAAAAAGGACAGCTGGAGCTAAAATCTAATTAAAGAGGAAATCAGCTACACGAATGAATGCACTGTGCTTTTTGACTGGCAATATTTTTTTCTTGTATTCAATTTACGTTCTAAACTTTTACTCTATTGCTGCTTCACTGGTTCATAAGATTTTGTGCACTTAATTCACTCCAAGTGATGATGCCACTATCATTATATACTTACTGATTTTATGGCAGAGACTTTTGTACGCAGACTTTCAGTTAACCTTTCATTTTCTTCTTCGTGTACACTATACCCACTATTGGTATAGCCATAGTTACCAGTAGCTACTCCTTCACCTTAAAAAAAAAAAAAAAAGACCAGTAAATCAGGTTTACAGACAGGAAATATCATCCAAGCAAAATACAGTATCATGGGGGTCCCAGTCCATTATGGTTACAAATGCATCCCTTGTGCATCCTCAAGAATGAGCAAGAGACGTTGTTAACATTTACAAATTCTCTCAGCCATTTAGAACATTGAGTTTAGCTTTCAATTCAGAAATCGGGAAATTAAAAGGTTCTTTGGCAACCTTGATTTAACTAAATCATATATCATGACCCAATTTTGCCCTCAGATACAGTAAATTTTTGTATTCTCCAAGGAAGAGAGCCTGAATGGTAAAAGGCTGAAAGTAGCACGGAGTCCACTGTACATTAAAGTACACATTCCCAACTATGCCGTATGTGGAATGCAGGAGTTAAGGTTACCCAGTAAGAGTCTTCATAGTTTTGACTTTGGAATGTTTACATTGTAACCTGTTATATTAAATATAGGTTTTAATGTCCCTTTAGATTATAAAAAGGGAAAAGGATTAACATACAGACTGCATAATCAGAGCTTTACTCATGTGTCTACCAGCAAGAGACCTCTGCCTTGCGGTGGGATGCTGCACTTGGCAAGTCATCTACTAGTTGGATGAAGGAGCTTCAGAGCTGCTACCCAGATTGTCAACTGGCAGATGACTGACCAGTAGAGGAGAGTCAGTGCCAAAATCATCAGCTTAGTATGCTCACCCCCTCCCACCTCTAATAAAGGGACTGTCCAACCAGCAGCTAAACAGCATACTGGGAGAGGGATGCACCGTGATCCCTGCATTCTCTCTCCCCCATCCCCCCCACCACACACACCCCAGTACTCAAAGCAAAAGCAGTCTAGCTTTGTAGGCTAAGAGGAATAGCAGGACAAAGCAGGCCACAAGTAGAAGACATATCAAGGGAGGTGGCTGGGTAAAAGCCCGAGCTTCCAGGATTGGGAAAGAGAATGATCAAGTAAAACGGGGGGGAGGAGGGTGGGGGGGAGAAGAAAAGAAAACCTGCTAAACTTTAGAGTAGAGATTGTATTTACTTTCAGCTAGCAATCTAGTTCCTATCATAATTTATCACGAGTAGCTAAAAATTTCAAATCACACTAAAACTGTTTGAATCCCCTCGACAAATTAATTCTCTCAGTTCATCTTTGAAAAAGGTTTTGAGAGAGGAGACAGAGCAGTCATATCCACAAAACAAGAATAATGCATTGATATTATCTCTTGACTGATTTCACACTGTACCATATACAGTAGAGGCATACACAGGAAAACAGGATAACTGATATTATGGATTTATGATATTCCATAATACCAAGGTGGTTTTTTGTTTGTTGGGTGGATTTTTTTTGTTTTTTTTACAGATGCAGAATAAAAAAAACAAGTTGGCTTGATGACAAGTTTTCAGTAAGGATGAATGAACTGGCAAGCTTCCATTTTACTATCATGTTACTCAAAAATGGGAAAATTGATCTTTTTCTTTTAATTTTTTTCCAGTCAGATTTGGATTAAGACCAAGTATGGAAAATTGGCTCAAAAGGAACCTTTTCGCAGAGTTACAAGCATGTGCAAAATATGAGGTTATAATTGAAGTAACCTTATGGTATTCATTACTAAGTGAATATTATAGTAGGGATGTGTTTACAATGGACTTTGATAATCTGTAGCTTGGAGCCAAAGTCCAGTAGTTATACATCAAAGGTCATTGCAAGAGGCAGTCTTTTACAAATGGAACAAGCATTCCCAGCCTTTTTAATAAGCAAACCCCATATTTGCATAAAACACAACTTCAAGCCGGAATGGGGTTGTCAGACAGGTATGGAAGAAGTACAAAGGGCAGACTTTTGAAGTTTAAGAGAAATCAATGCCGTGTGTGTACTGTCCCACAACATTGTGTGCTGTCATTATGGTAATAAGCAGTATGCAGTAAGCACCACTGTGTAATACGCAGCTAAAGAAGGGACAGGTGGCTGAAAGCAATGGCAGAAATTCTAGAAATTGTAAGTATTTATAAGAATAGAAGAATTTACCTAGACAACCTCTCTCAATGTGCCTCAATCTGAGGGGGACTGGGTAGGCAAGTAGAAACTGAATAGACTAAATAAAACAGATTTCTCCTAAAATAAAATGTAAGAGTCTGTCAAGAGTTGTGAACTAGGAAGATAAGAGGATTCACACTCATCTTTGAGTGCACAAAAATAGTTTTTTTGGATTCTTTAAAATCAAATATTCTATTGACTGAAACCATCTACTGAAATGATAGAACACAAAGTTTAATAACTCTAAGCAAGCAGGACATTTTTTAATGCCATCATAATAGCGATGTAGCCACATGATCAATTTAAGTCACTTTGTCTGGCCTTCTAATAGCTTTTCAACATCAGTTTCATTCAGGAACAGTCTGTTAGTCTGGTACCAAAAAGATGGCAAATACTATAGGAAACGCTGAAAAGCAAGGCACTGAATTTTATCAATTTGCAACCTCCTTTTTATGTTGAACACTACCTTCAATGTACCACAAAACGAGCAATTAGGTGAAGTGTCTGAAGCACTTCAACCTTAGTATACCCATCCAGACATATTTAAACTTGCAGGTCTTGCAAGTGAAGAAAGGGGAAAAATTTAAAGAATCAATATTATAGAGTGAGCTGGTAACCACCCCTATATTTTAATTACTTTGACATCAATAGTCTAATATGACCCAGGAATGGGTACAAACATCCATTCAGGGAAAGTATGTTCCCATTTAATACTGATGCCATGTCTGAACAGAAAATCAAAGAATACTGTCTGAATTAATCCTAAACTTCTGATGCATGGGTCACATGATAAAGATCTTGTTGATGAAGTATTAATTCCTACCAATCCTACAACATATTTTGGAAGCTCAAAAGTTCTTTTACTATCACCATCAACACCATGGTTGATTGACCGAAAGATGAGGATGCCCAAACTTCCCAAAGACTCTGTGGAATTCAGGAACAGTATCTATATTTGCACCTGTCATAACTATAAAGGGAAGGGAAACAGCTCTCCTGTGTACAGAGACTCCAAATCCTTTTACCTGTAAAGGGTTAAGAAGCTCGGGTAACCTGACGGACACCTGACCCGAAGGACCAATAAGGAGACAAGATACTTTAAAATCTTGGGGGGGGGAAAGGCTTTTGTGTGTGCTCTTTGTTTTAGGGGTGGTTCGCTCTTGGGACTGAGAGGGACCAGACATCAATCCAGGTTCTCCCCATCTTTCTAAACAAGTCTCTCCTATTTCAAACTAGTAAGTAAAAAGACAGCAAGGCGTCTTAGATTTACTTTGTTTTCTCAACTTGTAAATGTACCTTTTTACCAGAGTGTGTATCTTTGTTTGCTGTACTTTGAACCTAAGACAGAGGGGGGTCCTCTGAGCTCTTTAAGTTTGATTACCCTGTAAAGTATTCTCCATACTGATTTTACAGAGATGATTTTTACCTTTTTCTTTAATTAAAAGCCTTCTTTTTTAAGAACCAGATTGATTTCTCCTTGTTTTAAGATCCAAGGGGGTTTGGATCTGTATTCACCAGGAGTTGGTGAAAGGAGGGTGGAAGGAAGGAGGGGGGATGGTTAATTTCTCCTTGTTTTAAGATCCAAGGGGGTTTGGATCTGTGTTCACCAGGGAATTGGTGAAAAGTTTCTCAAGGCTTCCCAGGGAGGGAATTCTTGTGATGGTGGCAGCGGACCAAAGCTAAGCTGGTAGATAAGCTTAGAAGTTTTCATGCAGGCCCCTACATTTGAACCCTAAAGTTCAAAGTGGGGATCCAGCCTTGACAGCACCCAACTACCATAAATGTTAAAATGTATAATGAGCACAAACTTTTTAAAAAGCATGACTTTTAATCAGAGGCGGGGTGGATAAAAATCAATGATTTTTTAAAAGAAAAAAAATTTGATTTTTTTGATAAAATGCTTTTTGAGGAAAAAACCTATCTAAAGATAATTTTAATTAATATATATTATAGCTCAAAGATATGTCATCATGGAATAGGGATTATAAATTCTAATTCTATAGTATAAGACAATATATTCATGTAATGTTTAAGAAAAGTTTTGTAAATGAGTTCCAATAGTTCATGGATTAGGGACCCTATCTTATGGGGTTCCACAGGCTTCGGTACATATTATTTAGGTTAATCTTTCTATCAACCCAATGGGACTCAGTGCTCAGTTTAGAAGATACCATCAGAGATGCTTATTTTTGCAGTTCTCAAACTGGACTTGTGTCTCCAGAGGTAACATGCTTGTTAACAGCAAAAATGTTTGTAAATAAATAAATAATATATAGAGGTGAGAAATAACGGACCTCAACTATATTGTTCCTCTGCAAATTTGTGTACACACAGTCAATCCCCTACCTCTCTCTGAAAGTGCAAAGTTTCAAAAAATTCAATAAATAGAAGATTGTTGGGGGCGGCATAGATCTGGACAAGGAGAAGAAGTCTGGAGATAAACGTGAGAAGTGAGGGACATACGCTTGTTTTGTTAAAATACTGTATGTTTGCTGTTGAAGAAAAAATCCAGAATACTTAACATTGTTGTTTTAGTTAAATAAAACAATTTAAATGTCTGTCTGGTGATGTTCTCCTCCTAATACAGCATGGCAAGAAAATCCTTCAAATATTAATGATTAACCTGTTGAACTGGAGATAGTTCACCTCCCAATGACTTCATAAATATCTGCTTCAATTACCTTTGGTAAATTAAATAACCAAAGAATCATTAATTTTCTGCTATAGCTGTAAAACTAATCTGAAAAGTTTTCAAAATAGTGTGTACCTTCTAAAAATGAAACCTACATCTATCTCTGAGTTATGTGAAGAATATGTATTAAGGTTATAACAACCAACAAGAATGCACTTTTATGTAGAAATCCATGATTAAATTGAGTCTTCCTGACTAGTGATTTAAATCAAATCCACCCTGATCAGAGGACCAGAGGGAGAGGCACTAAACTTTTTTTTTTTTTTTTTTTTTAAGCAACTAGAAGGTGTGTTTGGAGGGATCTGACACTACAAGCTGACCATTCCTTCAGTGGAAATCTGACTTGATTTAATTAAAGAACTAGACCCACACAAAAAACCCAGAAAGAATTCAGAAGCAGCTATGAAACCTATTACTTTACTAACATGACTGATCCCAAGCACAAAGAAGTGTCAGAAACATGGCTGACAGAAAAAAAATTATTATTCTCTTCTAGCATTTAAAAGTAAAGATCAAGATTTCTACCCCAAATCTTGTTTGCAGAGTACGTTGTATCATGCCGTTGCATCATAATTAAGGCTCTGTGTTTGTCATGGAGGTCGCGGAAGTCACAGATTCCTTGACTTCCTGAGACCTCTGAGACTCCTGCAGTGGCCAGTATGGCTGATCCCAGGGTCAGCTGCACAGGCGGCCCTGGGGACAGCCACACAGGCTGCTGCGGGAGCGGCCTCGCAGCCAGCCGCTCCTGGAGTGGTCCCAACCCCAGAAACAGTCACACCGGCCGCTGCTCTGGCGGCCCCAGGCATTTGGCTCCAGGGACCACCCAAGCGGTGGCTGCTGCAACTGGCCCTGGGGACCGCCTGAGCAGTGGTCCCAGGGGATGACTGGAGCAGCCACAGCTTGGCGGCCCCCCAGCGCTTTCCTGCCCCAGCTGCTGGTGCCGCAGGCTCCCCTCTGCAGCACCCCCACCACCCACCCCCAAGATTCAATAGGGGGTATTTATGATATAAGTCATGGACAGGTCACAGGCCGTGATTTTTTGTTTCTTGCCCATGACCTGTATATGACTTTTACTACAAATACCCATGATTAAATCATAGCCTTAATCATAATGGAAGACTGGAAATAAAATAATAGTCCTAGATCAGTTGAATTCTGTACATTTAAAAAAATATTGTTGGTATTGCAGTAGTATCTAAGCCATATTTGCACTATATGCTTCTTTTGACAGCGTGTAGAGTATGTACTAAGGTGGCCCCCCAACCCCCAGCACAGGTTTAAATAGCAGTGTAGACAGTGAGGCACAGCTTAGGTAAGTAGAGTACAGACATGCCTGAATGGTCAGGGTAAGAACTCAGGTACATATCCTACATGCCTCTCTACTTCCCCAAGCCATGCCTTCCTGTCTACATTGCTCTTGTCAGTCATGCAGTGTCCCACTGGAGACTTTCCCTTTCCCTGCCACAAGAAAACACACCAGCAGTGGGTAAAGGCTCTGGCAGGGGGAGGCAGCAGGGAAAGGTTCTGGCAGAGGGGAAAAGGTTCCAGCAACTCCCCACTTCTAGAACCTTTCCTCACTTCAGGTAAGGACTCCAGCAAAGGGGAGGCAGCAGGAAAAGGCTCTGACAGCTCCCTGCTGCTGGAGCCCTTTGCCGCCGGAGGGAAAGGTGCTGCCAGAACCTTGCCCTGCTGCAGATAAGGATTCTGGCGGCAGGGTAAGGCTCCAGCAGCAGCAAAAGGCTCTGGCAACTCCCCACCACAGGTAAAGACTCTGGCAGCGGGGAACAGCTCAGCCTCCCTCTGCCAGAGCCTTTTCTCACTGCAATGAAAGGCTTGGGGCCCTGCTGAAGTCTTTCCATGCTGCCCCCACCAGAGTCTTTCACTGACATGTAGCTACACACTGCAGTATGGACAGAGCCTGCTTTTCACTGCACCATGTAGCTACACATACTCTTCACAGTGTGGAGTGTAGACATAGCCTAAGGCCTCCAGTCAGGAACCAGGGCTCTGTTGTGCTACTCATGATAGAAACACATAACAAAAAGATGGTCTACTGGCCCAAAGAACTAAGTCTAAGGCCTTGTCTACACTTAAAATGTATACTAGCATAGCGATTTCAGTCAGGAGTGTAGAGATAAGATCTACACACTTGGTGACATAGCTCTGCTGACAAACCCCCCACCCCAGTATATACGCAGCAAAGGTAAAGTCATGAAAGGAAGTAGTGTTTTTATACCTGCCAAATTCATGTTTGTTGGCATTGCTGAGTCTACCCTAGTAGCCTACGTAACAGAGTCTGTTTTACTACATTCTGAATGGTTTGGTCAAAACTAATAGATCCTAACTACTTAATAGATTGGGTAATTATTTTATTCTTGTATTTTATTTACATAATTACAGTTTTGTCAATTTGGACTATGTTTTTTCTCATTTACTTAACTTTTTCCCACCATTATGGGGAAAATCACAACCTTACACAGTAGTGAAAGGTTGTAACTGCAATGTGCTGTACAAGTAATAGTGCCTGCCCCAGACAGCAACATGTTCATAACTTCCCATACTCCCTTTTACATAATCCTTCCAATGGCCAGCATTCTTGTTACCCAACACTGAAAGGGTTATTTCCAAGCCACACTATAGACACATCTGAAAGATTGATGCCAGCTGCAGAAGTAGCCTGTCTTCAGGCAGGAAATGAAGGGCAACAAACAGCTACATATAAATTTACAAATACGTTTTTCAAGTCAAGGCTCTAAAACAGAGTCCATGAGCTTAGTACTAGCATACTACAAAACAAAAAGGCAAAAATAAAAGCAGCAATTTAAATTTATCTTCTTTCACTTTCTGTCATCAGCAGCAGGTTGGAGGATGATCTCTACCACAGATTTACATGTGGGTCCTGACATGACTCAGACCTCCCACTTTCTGTAAACAACAATCGATTGCTGAAGGGTATTGAGAGAAGCTCTGAAACAACGACAACATTCAATTACTGGGGGGTAAAGGAAAGCAGCAGCTGGAGTGGTGTGAGTCTGATAAACTATGATCAGCGAGGTGGAAAGGAAAGTACCCCACGGGCTTCCCCTAAGAACTAGCTCAGCGCTGGGATGGTGTCTCGCTTCTGCAGCCTCCTCTCAGTGCCACTGACTTCACAGGGGCGCAACCCCCGGGGGGGGGGGGGGAACCGCGCTGGAGTTTAGCCAGACACTAGTTCAGGCCACGGGTAAGGAGGCCACAGAAACGATTCACGCATCATTTCCACCTCCTTGCACGGCCCGGTCCCTCCTCCGCCCCCCCCCCAACTCCCGGTTCCCGAGTCCGCCCCGCTCAGCCCTGCAAAGCCCGGGCCCCTCCCCAGGTCTCCCGCCGCCGCCCCCCGCTTACCCAGCCCAGCGCGCCTCATCCCTGCGGCGGGATGGGCAGGGGACCGGCTCCCCCACCCGCTGAGGAAGCGGCTCTGCGCGTCAGCGGCCAAGCTCCGGCTTCCGGGCCCTCCTCAGTCACCCCAAACGCCACGACATCGCTACCCCACAGCCCTCTGGGTAATGCAGTCCCTCCACGTGCGGGGCCCTTCCGGCCGAGCGCGGGGCCTCCTGGGTAGTGTAGTTAATAATACAAAAATAACCTATGGAGATAGACCTATCTCATAGAGCTGGCAGGGACCCTGAGAGGTCATCGAGTCCTGCCCCCTGCCTTCACTAGCAGGACCAAGCACTGATTTTGCCCCAGCTCCCTTAGTGGCCCCCTCAAGGATTGAATTCACAACACTGGGTTTAGCAGGCATATGCTCAAGCCACTGAGCTATCCCTCCCCCTTGCATAGCAGTTGGTTTAATCTCATTTGAAGTTAAGTGATTTCCTGGTACTTGAGTTTAAAGAAAATACTTTTATGAGGCTTATTTATAGATTCTCCTAATTTAAGTGAGGCATTTACTAGAAAAAAAGGCAGCTACACTGGGTTCTCTAATTCTAAGGAGACTGGCATCCTACATTATTTATATTTATTATTTGTATTGCAGTTGCCTTTAGAAGTCCTAGTCCTGAACCAGAGCCCTGCTGTGCTAGATACTATACAACTGCATAGCAGAAAGATAGTCCCTGCCCCAAGGAGCTTGCAATTCACGTATAAGAGGAGACAATGTGATTACAGACAAACCTGGGTGCATAATTAGACAATATTGGTCAGTATGATAGGCAGTGGGTCTTAGCAAACCAGCTGCCATCCTATATACAATTGCTTTACAACAAATCATTCTCCTTTTGTGACACGAAAACCCTGGTAACTTCCAGCATTTCCTTTTTCTCTGCCTATCAGTTGAACAGATCTGTCAGCTACAGTGTAGCCTGATTTTAGCACATCTTTAAGATGAATATGGAAAAGACATGTATTTACTTTCTTTGCATGTAGAATTATTACATGATTTATATGTAGAAGTAATATTGATTTAAAATTTCCCTTCCCAAGCACTAGAGTGTAGATTTAAATTTATGAAACAAAAGCCCACCCTAGCTATAGTGTTTGCTTGTAATTTCTTGCCATTTCTCTCTAATAGTCAAGCCATTCTTTACCTCATTTTGGAAACACATAATCAGAATAGGGAGCCTTGTGCCCATCTGAGTTGTGTTCCTTTCTGCGGGTGTACAGCATATACACAACACCAGCAGGATTAGAGGGAGGCAGTGAAGGTGGCAATTTAGGAGGGGGCAAAGTAAAGAATGAAGGAGAAAGCAAAGCAGGAGAAAAAAATTAAATTTTCACCCTGTCCAGTACAATCTCCCTTCAGCAGCAGGCAATTTTCCATAAAACCTTATCTGAAATGCTACAGCTCTTATTATTTACTCTATGTATATCTATGCTGCCCATTATTTTAGTGTCTAGGTTTCATCTACATCAGTCCAGGAAAACTTATCAGTTCCTTTAGGAAAGGGGATAGTTTTCTCATACTGCTTTCCCCACTTCCATCCAGATCAAAGGTGCTTATTTGTGAGAAAAACTTTTAGGTACTTTACGATGCAGAGTTCACAGGTGGGGCCATTCCCCAACTTGGTTGTTAAGCAAAGGATTTTTTTAAGGAAGTGATCCAGGACGCATTTCTTTAAGTGGCAAGATTTGGATTTAGCTTCATCTCTGGCAGTTGTGAAATCCATAGCTAAGGGCCATATTCTGAGAGAACCTTATTCCTGCCCCTTGCAAATTTGAACCATCAGTAATAACATTTTCTTCCATGGTGGGTTGCAGAGTGACAATCTCTGTGGAAGTGCCTCAAACTCTAAAACAGAGAGTGAATTCCGGCCCCCACTGACGTCAGTGGCAAAACTTATTTTTTCTCCAATGCGACCAGAAGTTCACCCAAAGTCTTTTGCTATGAAATATAACCCCACTTACATTTTTCTTTTATATTGTGCATGATTTGTCTGCTCTGTGATGAGGATTTCCTGGCTCTTTGTGATATTTCTTTATGTCATATTTCCCATGACTTGTTTCTCTATCTTCCTTGTTTTAGGTAGAAAAGGTAGATTTGTGCCATCATGTCCATAACATGCTTATAACATCTTGTAACCATTTATTAATTCTATAAGCCATTTATAAATGGAATGATTATATCAAGTGTGACCAGTAGGTACTCTACATTTTCTTATAGCATAAAGTAGTGAATAAGATGTTTTATCATACAATGAATGTGTATTTCACTTTGTATTTTTTCTAATTTTATTGTAGTTATATTGTTTAATACACCTCTCTGCACCTTTTCCAATTCTAATACATCTTTTTTGAGATGGGGTGACCAGAACTGCAAACAGTATTCAAGGTGTGGGTGTACCCTGGACTTGTATAGCGGCATTATGGTATTTTCTGCTTTATTAGCTATCCCTTTCCTAATGGTTCCTAGGATTCTGTTTGCGTTTTTGACTGCCACTGCACATTGAGTGGATGTTTTCAGAGAGCTATCCATGATGATTCCAAGATCTCTTTCTTGGGCAGTGAATATAGTGACCAGATAGCCTTCTTATAACTAAAGTATTGTTCATTTTAACAATAGGAACAAAGCATGTAGGGCTTGTCTACATAGCAAGTTACTGCCTGGCAAACTGGGATGTGAATTTACAGCATGGGAGCTTGACACACAATAATATCCTGTGTGGACGCTGCTACAGCACAGTGAAAGTCCTGGAGTCTGGCTCAGCATCCTACACTAAGTTCTCCATATATAGGTAGTCTGTGACTTTTGCCATCTTACATGCATGGTTTTCTTATCTATAGGCTTATCGCCCCCTGATGGTAGCTTAGGCAGGCCTGGCTTCTTCAGACACCTAGTGGATGTCTGTCTTAGTTTGCTTCCCTGGACATCTGAACAGCTACCCCCTTCTTGAGAGGGAGTCCCTTTTTATACTAGTCATTTGTTCTTTTTCTAGATCTCAAGCTTTGATCCTGTTTGTCACAACCTGCTCTGTAAATTGGCTGGGGCCAGGAAGTAGAATCTTCACAGCTAATAGTTCAGGCATTGTCTCTTAATAACCCTTAAATATTTACTAGGCAGTAGCTTATCTTGAGCCTTTGCTTCCTTCTTGCTTGCTTTTCCTTGCAGCCTCCTATTAAACTAAATACCCCCAATAACCAGGTCAACATGCAGAATTCACAAATTATTACAAAGCAACTCCACTTCTGTCACAATCCCTACCAGTAAAGAAAAGAACAGGGAATAGCCCAAAAAGGGCCTATTCAGTTGAACTTGTAACAAACTATTAGAAAATCAGAAATCCGAATATGATCATCATCATCATAATTTATCATTGCATAAAAAGATTAAGATATTTTGGTTACTTCAGTATTTTTAAAACAGTTTTTCACCATCTTCTTGATTAAAACCCACAGCTTCCCAGAATTACAAGCTGCGATAACAACCTAATGAATCACAGTACACTGCCACCATATGTTGACATAATTAGAAAGCTGTAAAGCTGGTACTGTATGATATTATGTGTTTGCACCTATTTTTTCAGTGTCTGCTGTTTGCTGTTAAAATATTAAGTGACTTTTTTTTCTTTAAAAAAGCCTGGCCAGTGATCCAATAGGTGATTCATTAGTGCAATTAGGTAACAGCAGATTGTGGATATTTATAAATAGAATCCATTACATCAGCCACATAAAAACAGGACTAGCATCAGACAATCTTCCTAGTTAACGGATAATATTTCCAAAAGGGATAATGTGACCATCTTTCCTCAGCATCCTGTTAATATCTTGCGCCCATATTAATTACTCTTGGGGGAATTCTGCACCAAAAAAATTAAAAATTCTGCACACCATTTTAAAATTCTGCATATTTTATTTGTCAAAATAACACAATATGGTAAGGCCATTTTCAATTATTTCAGTAATTTATTTCAAAATGCCCGTTGACAAGCATGTCTAACAATACAGACAACAAAAAATATTCAGGAAATGTTTTGACAGATTCTTTACTAGACATATTAATACAGAACTTTGACTAAAAATTCATTTAAACTTCAATACAGAAACATGTTTCTCGTGCCCTTCAGAAGCTGCGCAAAGGCTTGGGGAAGTCAGGTTTAATGGAGGAGCTGAGGGAGAAGAAAGTCATTGCTGGGAAGGAACCTGGGAGTGAACTTGGAGGGTTGTTGGGTGTGGGTTGGAGATGTATGGGACAGGGTTTTTTTGCAGGGACGGGGGAGGGATTGTTGGGGAGCCTCCACCATGCAGACCCTGGCTGACCTCTACCCTCTCCCATTCAGTCAGGCACATCTGCTCCTGTCCTCATGTGTCCCTGCACCCCTCCTCCCCCATGTGTCCATGCCGTCCCCACTCAGCTCCCCCTTCTCCCCCCATCCTCATGTGTCCTTGCACCTCCCATGTCCCTGCACCCCCTCAGCCACCCCTCCATTCCCATCCCCAAGTGTCCCTGCAACCCCCTCCCATTCAGCCCCTTGTTCAATGCTGTCATCCCACTAGCTCCTGTGCTCCCACCCCAGTCTGTCTCTCCCCCCCCCCACTAGCCCTTCTGAACCCCAGTCTATGTGACTCCACCGAAGTCTCATGTGTCCCACTCTGTCTGTGTCCCCCCCACATATCCCATTCTTCCTCACCTGTGTGTTCTGGTGCCACAGCAGCCCATGGTGCATGAAAGGTGTAATGTATTTTCTGCAGAGAAAAAAAATCTACAGGGGCATGAATTCTGCACATGCGCAGTGGCACAGAATTCCCACAGGTGTAACTTATGTTACTTGACAATTATGAATACACAAATTACTTGGGGCAGCAGAATGAAATCAGTCAAAAAATGCTTACTGCCCAAAAATTTCATCCTGCATTTCTTACACTGACAAAACTCCCATTGAGGATGGTCCCTTTAAAGAGGTCAGTATCCCTCCTTTTACTGATTTTGTCTCCAAGCACTGCCATCTTCAAGGATACTAGGTGTGGTGGAAGAATTGTTACTGTCATAAATCTTTAAATTGTTGAGGCAGTGTCCTGATGGCT